CGTGAGTACATTATATTTCCTCACTGATTTCCATACCACATAAAAAAAATTAATACACTCATTTCTTTTAATCAGAATTAAATAGCCTTTAGTACACACATATTTTATTGCTGTTGTGTATGTAAATTCATTCAGAAATATTTGAGACACTTCCATATTACGAATTTGTTAATAAATTTTAGATCCGATCTCGGTTCGGTGAATTAAAAAAAAAATTCTCAGTTACAAACTTTGACAAAGTCTATTCATTATTCTAATTCATTTTGTTATTATTTAACATCAAAAATCTTTCATATATTAAAAGAATCAGATATATGCAATGTATATCTCTGTATAATAGACACTGGTATATACACATTGTGTTTGTTTATGCAACAAACACAATGCACTTGGTCACTGTTAATGATCAAGTGCATTAAGGACTTAATGACCATCTGGTAGTTATTAGTCCTTAAACATAATAGAGTAATGAAAATAATAAGGAAAAAAAATACGGTATCTGCAATCTGTGCAAAGTAACTTTCTTCATTCCGTAATTTGGAGGACGTTTGATCTCAAGATTTCTCACTTGCATAAGTAAACTTGGGTTTTTCAGAATAATTCGTCTCACTTTAGATATATGAGTGTGTGTGTGTATGTGTGTGTGTGTGTGTGTGTGTGTGTGTGTGTGTGTGTGTGTGTGTGTGTGTGTGTGTGTGTGTGTGTGTGTGTGTGTGTGTGTGTGATGTTCGTTCGTTTATATGTTAATACCCTGGGGGTATCGTCATGCCTCATGTGCTGCTCCTCCTCCACCTGTTGACAGACCTTGACAGTGGTCGTGGAGGGGCGGAGGTGTGGACAGTGGGCGCCGTGGACAGGGAAGAGCACCGTCAGCTGCTGGTGGGCGTCCTGGTGGCTGACGCGGGGGGAGTGGCTGCCACCCACACTGTTACTGTCATTGTCGACGACATCAACGACAACCCCATGAAGCCTGGAACCAAGACTGTCTACCTCTGGAAGACTCAGGTAGGTTCCATGAAGCCTGGAGCCAAGACTGTCTACCTCTGGAAGACTCAGGTAGGTTCCATGAAGCCTGGAGCCAAGACTGTCTACCTCTGGAAGACTCAGGTAGGTTCCATGAAGCCTGGAGCCAAGACTGTCTACCTCTGGAAGACTCAGGTAGGTTCCGTGAAACCTGGAGCTCCAAGACTGTCTACCTCTGGAAGACTTAGGTAGGTTCCATGAAGCCTGGAGCCAAGACTGTCTACCTCTGGAAGACTCAGGTAGGTTCCGTGAAACCTGGAGCTCCAAGACTGTCTACCTCTGGAAGACTCAGGTAGGTTCCGTGAAACCTGGAGCTCCAAGACTGTCTACCTCTGGAAGACTCAGGTAGGTTCCATGAAACCTGGAGCTCCAAGACTGTCTACCTCTGGAAGACTCAGGTAGGTTCCGTGAAACCTGGAGCTCCAAGACTGTCTACCTCTGGAAGACTCAGGTAGGTTCCATGAAGCCTGGAGCCAAGACTGTTTACCTATGGAAGACTCTGTAGGTTCCATGAAACCTGGAGCCATGACTGTCTATCTCTAGAAGACGCAGGTAGGTTCCATGTAGCCTGTAACCAAGTCTATCTACCTCTGGAAGACTCATGTAGGTTCCATGAAGCCTGGAGCCAAGACTGTCTACCTCTGGAAGACTCAGGTAGGTTCCATGAAGCCTGGAGCCAAGACTGTCTACCTCTGGAAGACTTAGGTAGGTTCCATGAAGCCTGGAGCCAAGACTGTCTACCTCTGGAAGACTCAGGTAGGTTCCGTGAAACCTGGAGCTCCAAGACTGTCTACCTCTGGAAGACTCAGGTAGGTTCCGTGAAACCTGGAGCTCCAAGACTGTCTACCTCTGGAAGACTCAGGTAGGTTCCGTGAAACCTGGAGCTCCAAGACTGTCTACCTCTGGAAGACTCAGGTAGGTTCCATGAAGCCTGGAGCCAAGACTGTCTACCTCTGGAAGACTCAGGTAGGTTCCATGAAGCCTGGAGCCAAGACTGTTTACCTATGGAAGACTCAGTAGGTTCCATGAAACCTGGAGCCATGACTGTCTACCTCTGGAAGACTCAGGTAGGTTCCGTGAAACCTGGAGCTCCAAGACTGTCTACCTCTGGAAGACTCAGGTAGGTTCCGTGAAACCTGGAGCTCCAAGACTGTCTACCTCTGAAGACTCAGGTAGGTTCCGTGAAACCTGGAGCTCCAAGACTGTCTACCTCTGGAAGACTCAGGTAGGTTCCGTGAAACCTGGAGCTCCAAGACTGTCTACCTCTGGAAGACTCAGGTAGGTTCCATGAAACCTGGAGCTCCAAGACTGTCTACCTCTGGAAGACTCAGGTAGGTTCCGTGAAACCTGGAGCTCCAAGACTGTCTACCTCTGGAAGACTTAGGTAGGTTCCATGAAGCCTGGAGCCAAGACTGTCTACCTCTGGAAGACTCAGATAGGTTCCATGAAGCCTGGAACCAAGACTGTCTACCTCTGGAAGACTCAGATAGGTTCCATGAAACCTGGAGCCAAGACTGTCTACCTCTGGAAGACTCAGGTAGGTTCCATGAAGCCTGGAGCCAAGACTGTCTACCTCTGGAAGACTCAGGTAGGTTTCATGAAGCCTGGAGCCAAGACTGTCTACCTCTGGAAGACTCAGGTAGGTTTCCGTGAAGCCCGGAGTTCCAAGACTGACCACGTCTGGAAGACTCAGGTAGGTTCCATGAACCCCGAAGCCAAGGCTGTCTACCTCTGGAAGATTCAGGTGGGTTCCATGAAACTTGAAGTTCCAAGACTGTCTACGTCTGGAAGACTCAGGTAGGTTCCTTGAAGCCCGGAGCCAAGAATGTCTACCATTGAAAGACTCAGGTTGGTTCATTGAAGCCTGGAGCTCCAAGACTGTCTATCTCTGAAAGATTCAGGTGGGTTCCATAAAGCATGGAGCCAAGACTGTCTACCTCTGGAAAGCCTAGGTAGGTTCCATGAAGCCTGGAGCCAAGACTGTCTACCTCTGGAAGACCTAGGTAGGTTCCATGAAGCCTGGAGCTCTAAGATTGTCTTTCTGGAAGACTCAGGTAGTGTAAGTTCCATAACTGGTGTGTGTGTGTGTAAAAGCTACGAGAGAGCTCAGATATTTTTTCTTTTGTTCTTTTTCTCCCCTGTAGAGCACTTTTATATTTTTTGTCAATCATAAATTGCTCTCCCGTCTTGTGCAGGGCGGAGGGTCGGAGGCGCCGCTTGGTCGAGTGTTCGTGGACGACCCCGACGACTGGGACCTCCCCGACAAGAGCTTCCACTGGCGGGGCGCTCCACATCCTCTTTTCTCCCTCAACACTCACACTGGCGACCTCTTCGCCTCCAGCCAGGTGAAGGCCGGCAGGTAAGTCTACCCAATTAATTTTCCTTATTTCTGAATCAGTGTTTGCGACTAGCTGGTGAAAAGCCATTAGGACTCCTTAAAATCAATGACGTACACGTTCCTCGTGAAATTGTGAGTGTCAGAAGTTTTGGCAGCACCGTAGAGGTAATACGGCACCGTGACGCTAGCATGGCACCCTGACGTTAACACAGCACCGTAACGCTAACACTCCCGCCCTTTGCCACCGCAGGTACGACCTGCAGTTCAGCGTGGACGACCTGTTGTGGGGTCAGAAGGACGTAGAAGCCAACGTGACTGTGGCTGTGAGGGTGTTGACCCCAGACACCCTCGCCCACGCTGCCCCCATCATCCTCACGCCCACCACCCCCGCCCACCTCACCCAAGGGTGGACACCGCAGGTTAGATATGAGCAAAAGTCTTCAGGGACCAAGGTTCACCCTGGGTCCCTGAAGGGCTAAACTAGTAAGGGTTAATATAATTTAATTGTTAATATAATTTATCAATCACTTTTTTCTCTCGAACATGATTCAGAGGTATGAAGAGTGCCGGGTATCTAACTGGGACTCAATCAGTTGTAAGTCCCTAGCTTAACCAACTCAGCCACAGGGAAAGAGAGTTGATGTGATTGAAAGCCTTGAGGTGTCTGAGACTCCATTGAAAAGTAAGCTGGAACTGCCCTCACAGATTTCTTGTACACATTCTGTGGCTGAGTCGGTATAGTCAGGAACTTGCAGATGTAAACACGCCAGTTCATTCCCCAGTATTACTGACATCAGAGCGGTTTGAAGCGTATTTTTTAACATATTAGAAATTTTAACTACGTATTTTGGAATCAAATCTGCTGTCTAAATTGCATTTTGAGGAGGAAAATTAAGCAAAATCTTATATAACGTGAGTTTATTTCTGTTTTTGAGAGCCAGGTGACGATGGAACGACCATAGATGGCATGTCTCCCCTGAAAATTTAGCTATCTGTACTAACCTTGTGTATTTCTCCGTGTTGTCTTGAGCAGGGAGGGGGCGGGCTGGGACGGGTGATGGAAGGCGTGTTGGGGGCGGTGGGTGAGGCCGCCCATACGGTGCAGGTGGTCAGCATGTACCCCTACGGAGGTCAAATCCACCCAGACCACCCACAACCATCCGGCTCCACCGCCGACCTCACCCATTCACGCCCACGGGCCACGACGCCCACGGTCCACTCGGCGTGCGTGTGGGTGAGCGTGAAGAAGGAGCGAGGAGACTTCATGGATCCCGTCAAGTTGAAAGGCCTGATGGCTTTACACTCACACCAGGTCAGTTGCACTCTGAGAGTTTAACCTCAAATTTCTTTTAAACTTCCGAGTATTGCTTTTGCATTCTCATTAAAGCTGATATAAATACGTTAAGGGGTAATAACGAAAACAATGTATTTTATTTTCTCTGTCTAACAGATTGAGGCGCTGACCAATCTGACGGTGGTGAGGGAGTCATCGACAGTGGTGAGGGGGTATTCGACTTCTGGGTCAAGGGGAGAGACGAGGGGTCTTCAGGATGACCCAGCCCTCAATTCCCTGCACCAAGACGGCCCCCTTGACCCTTCTTCTGCTGCCTATCGTGCCTCCACTACTCTGCCGCTACAGGTAATGTGCTGCTGAGGGCAGCCAGCCAGCCAGCTCACGTCAATCTAAAAAAATAGCTGAAGTTTAAAACAATGATTCCGTGAGCATAGTTCAGCTATGGAAATAAAAATTAAAATCAAGCACACACACACACACACACACACACACACACACACACACACACAGGCAGAATCGACTCGGAACAGGATCCTGCAGGAGAAAGCACGATTAAGGGACATGCCGGCATACAGGAAGGTGTATCTCGACTGCGACAGAACACAAGAAGAAAGGCAGAAACTGAGAGAGATGGTACAGAGGCGAAACGAGGAAAGAGAGGGGATGGAGGAGACAGACAGGAGATCCCAGACCCAGGAAGAAGATCAAATACAGCCTCCCTCACAACTTCCTATAGAAGCCCCCCAACCAGGTCAACCCCAGTGCAACCAAACACTCTAAACCAAAATACCCATGCCATATCCAATGCCCCCACCCACTGCATTACAAACTCCACCCCCACAGTAACCACCCGTAGTTCCTTATCAGGTCTCCCACTTTCCCAACCCCAATATACCTCCCAGACCACAGTCTTAGAAAAGAAGTTGAAGGTGTGGTATACAAATGCAGATGGAATAACAAATAAGTATGAGGAGTGGCATGAAAGAATCAAGGAGACATCCCCAGACATAATAGCACTCACAGAAACAAAACTCACCAGAATAATAACAGATTCAATCTTTCCATCTGGATATCAAATCCTCAGGAAAGACAGAGGGAGGGGAGGGGGAGGAGGAGTTGCACTGCTCATTAAAACCCAGTGGGGTTTTGAGAAAATGGAAGGAATGGATGGCACGGGCGAAAGGGACTACTTAGTAAGAACAATCCACTCTGAGGGACATAAGGTGATAATTGCAGTAATGTACAACCCACCAAAGAACTGCAGGAGGCCAAGAGAAGAATACGATGAGAGCAACAGAGCAATGATCGACACACTAGCCGAGGTGGCCAGGAGAGCACACATGGGGGGAGCAAAGTTACTAGTTATGGGTGATTTCAATCACAAGGAGATTGACTGGGAAAACCTGGATCCCCATGGGGGTCCCGAAACATGGAGAGCCAAGATGATGATGTGGTACTGGAAAACCTCATGCATCAACATGTTAGAGACACTACCAGAGAGAGAGGTGAGGATGAACCAGCAAGACTGGACCTTGTATTCACCTTGAGTAGTTCGGACATCGAGGATATCGTGTATGAAAGGCCCCTGGGAGCTAGTGATCATGTGGTTCTGTGCTTTGACTACATAATTGAGCTTGAAGTGGATAGAGTAGCAGGAATAGGATGGGAAAAAACAATCTACAAAAGGGGGAACTACTCAGGCATGAGGAACTTCCTGTAAGACGTTCAGTGGGAGAGGGAACTGACAGGAAAACCAGTACAAGAAATGATGGACTATGTGGCAACAAAATGCAAGGAGGCAGAGGAGAGATTTGTTCCCAAGGGAAACAGAAATAATGGGAAGAACAGAACGAGTCCTTGGTTCACCCAAAGGTGTAGGGAGGCAAAAACTAGGTGTACTAGAGAATGGAAAAGGTACAGAAGACAGAGACCTCAGGAAAATAAAGAGATTGTTACAAAAAACGGGATTCTAAAAGCTTAGAGATCTCCAGTGAATACTAGAAAGGACTGCCCTTCTAGCATCCAGCCTGTTACTGGGTTTTTGTAACAAGTAGTCAGTATCCTTGTCCAATTATCCATTAGAATTCAGTATAATTCAATAGTGCTTCAGGATTACAACTGGTAGGCTACTAACTAGAGAAATTAAAATTTAATAAATTTATTAAGTATCGTCTAGAGGTATATCATCAAATTAAATTAAATTAATCAATTCAAACAAATTAATAATAATCACTTCTCTCGTATACAATAGTATTGTGCTGAAAGCACATATCACATTTATAATTCTTAAGTACCGTCTGGTACATTAACATTTAATAAGATATTACAAATATGTACAAGTAAGTTTGTGTGTATGTGTGTAAGTGTGTATTTGTATGTGTGTAAGTGTATGCGTGAAACAAGCTTTTATGCCACAAGACGGGCAGAAAGCAGCAACTTCACTCTGGCTGTACCCTTCTCCAGAACATCACTCCATCTGAGATCATACATACCCAGGATGACTCGAGTATGGAACACATTCGTACAGCATAATGATATCAACGAGATAAAGTCAGTTGATCAAATGAAAATGCTGGCCCACAGATGGCTCCAACTTCATCCTGTCCCGTACTTGTATGTCTCATAACAATAAAAATGCTTTCAAATGAGCTGATGTAGGTAACAGCTCTTAGCTTGCCAATAAGAACATAAGAACGAAGGAACACTGCAGAAGGCCTACTGGCCCATGCGAGGCAGGTCCAAGTCTCCTACCGGCTTAAGCCAATGCACCCAACCTAGTCAGGTCAGGTCACATTGACTTAAGGGAGGAACACGGCAACCGACCTGGTAGCACAAGCTATCAGGTCTAACTCACACCCACCCACATCCACTCATGTATTTATCCAACCTATTTTTAAAGCTACACAACGTTCTGGCCTCTATAACGGTACTTGGGAGTTTGTTCCACTCATCCACAACTCTATTACCAAACCAGTACTTTCCTATATCCTTCCTGAATCTGAATTTTTCCAACTTAAAACCATTGCTGCGAGTCCTGTATAGGCTAGATATTTTCAGCACACTATTTACATCCCCTTTATTTATTCCTGTCTTCCATTTATACACCTCAATCATATCCCCCCTAATTCTACGTCTTTCTAGAGAGTGCAGATTCAGGGCCCTTAGTCTATCCTCATAGGGAAGGTTTCTGATACATGGGATCAACTTTGTCATCCTCCTTTGTACATTTTCCAGAGAATTTATATCCATTCTGTAATAAGGTGACCAAAACTGTGCAGCATAATCTAAATGAGGCCTAACCAAGGATGTATAGAGTTGAAGAACAACCTGAGGACTCCTATTATTTATGCTTCTTGATATGAAGCCAAGGATTCTATTAGCTTTATTGCGAACACTTATGCACTGTTGTCTTGGTTTCAGATTACTGCTAACCAGAACTCCTAAATCTTTTTCGCAATCCGTAATATTAAGATCTACATTATTTAGTTTATATGTGGGATGGTTATTGTCCTGTCCAACATTTAGAACTTTGCATTTGTCTATATTAAACTGCATCTGCCACTTCTCCGACCACTGCATCAGTCTATTCAAATCTTCCTGGAGTGCTCGAATGTCCTCGTCAGAATGAATTCGACGGCCTATTTTGGTGTCATCGGCAAACTTGCCGATGTCGCTCTTTATGCCCTCATCTATGTCGTTTATGTAGATTGTGAACAGCAGGGGGCCCAACACTGACCCCTGCGGAACACCGCTTGTGACACTCCCCCACTCTGATTTCTCCCCATTTATGCAAACTCTCTGCTGCCTATTTGTCAACCATGCCTCTATCCAGGAAAAATTTCTCCTCCTATTCCATGTGCTTTAATTTTCCTCAATAGTCTCTGATGTGGGACCCTGTCAAAAGCCTTACTGAAGTCCATATACACAATATCATATTCATTACCATGATCTACCTCCTCAAATACCTTAGTGAAAAAAGTTAATAAATTCGTAAGGCAGGAACGCCCCTTTGTAAAACCATGCTGAGATTCGTTGATTAATTTATGCTTTTCAAGGTGGCTACGAACTGCCTCGGCAATTATTGATTCCATAAATTTTCCCACTATGGAGGTTAGGTTATTGGTCTATAGTTCGAAGCTAAGGACCTGTCACCTGTTTGAAAATAGGTATCACATTTGCCATTTTCCACTTATCTGGCACCATGCCAGTTTGTAGTGATATGTTGAAAAGATTAGCCAAAGGTGTGCTAAGCTCCTCTTTACATTCCTTTAGAACCCTTGCATACAGTTCATCAGGGCCTGGGGATTTGTTAGGTTTTAATTTATCTATTTGCCTAAGGACCATGTCACTTGTGACCCTAATAGTGCACAGTTTATTATCGTCCTGTTCTACATAATTTATCATTACTGGAATATCGCTGGTATCCTCCTGTGTAAAAACTGAGAGGAAGTATGTGTTAAAAATTCTACACATTTCCTTATCACTGTCAGTGAGCTGACCCGAGGAACTTTTGAGTGGGCCTATCTTGTCCCTGATCTTACTTCTGTAAACCTGAAAGAATCCTTTTGGGTTAGTCTTCGATTCTCTTGCAACTTTAACCTCATAATCTCTTTTTGCTTTTCTAATTCCCTTTTTTATTTCTCTCTTTAACTGAATATATCGATTTCTTAATTGTCCCTCTCCTCTTTTGATTTGCCTATATATGCCTCTCTTTTGACCAATCAGATATTTTAATCTATTGTTCATCCATTTAGGATAATTTTTGTTTGATCTGATTTCCCTATTTGGAACATAATTTGACTGAGCAGCTAGAACTATGCCCTGGAAAGCATCATATCGGCAACCATCACCACCTACCTGCCCCTTAGTCAGGTCATTCCAGTTCAGCCCACCTAAGTAATTTTTCAGTCCTATGAAATCAGCCAAGCGAAAGTCAGGGACGGAGACTTGATTGCCATTATTAGGGTAATTCCATGATATATTAAAACTGAGTGATTTGTGATCACTTTCCCCAAGCTCATCATTAACCTCAAGATTATTAATTAGTGTTTCCCTACTGGCAAGAACCAAGTCAAGGAGGTTATTTCCCCTAGTTGGCTCTGTCACAAACTGTTTTAAAAAACAATCCTGGATCGTATCAAGAAAGTCACCTGACTCTAAATTTCCTGTCAAATTGCTCCAGTCAATCTGTCTATAGTTGAAATCTCCCATTAGCACAACATTTTCGTATGTAGATGCCTTACGAATTTCGTCCCATAGAAGTTTACTGCACTCCCTATCAAGATTTGGGGCCCTGTAAATCACACCCAAAATCAGTTTTTCTCGGCCCTCGAGAAGCTGTAACC